TGTTGAGCTATAGGCGCCGAGCCCCATTTGTCCTTCATTCTAGAACCTAAATAGGGCAGCCTGGACCTGACATAGGTGAAGGTGTAAGCGCCACAAAGGGGCCTCAAATCCAGAGGACATCATTGAGAGGGAGACTGGAGGGAGCAGAGTCGCTCTTCAGCTCCTTGCCTATTCACAAGCAGAACAGGGGCTCCATCTTATCTTGACTATGGCCAAAACCTACCTTTTCTCTATGGAGGGAGAGGTACATTTTATTTTTTCTATTGGGTTTGTATATTTTCCCACTTCTGCCTGAATTTTATTTTACAATTTCAAAAAAAGGATAGTTGTTGTATTAAGTTTGTATTATAAGAAAAAGAACCAACATTGGTTTAATGTCCACCACATAATATGCCATTTCTCACTTAATCCACATTTATTTGTCATAAAGAATATTTCATGTAGGTCCTGTTGTTACTCTAACATTACAGTTGAGGTCATATCTTTAGAGGTTATGCTATGTTATAAATCTAGCAGTTTTTATTTGACACCAAAGTCTTGGAGCTTCCTTTTCCCAGGGTTTCACCACCTTTGGGTCTTCCCCTGGTAGAGGGCTGTATAGTGAACACAGTGGGTTCTAAGCAGCACTGTAAAGTTGCATGTAATAGAACACATCAGTGTGTGTCGTGTACCAAGGGTAAGTTTTTTTGCATGTGGAACATCATTTTATGTTGTGTGAGAGTGAGTGGGAACATATGACTGTGTGCTCTGGGTTGTTGCAAAATGTAAGAAATAAATGTGACCAGGACCAGCTGAAAATGTTTGAGAGTTCTTATTCTCTCCTGCACAGTGCACACTGTGGGTGGGTGAGTCTTGCTGGGAGGGTCCATCCTGTGCCTTGGAGGATGTTACTAAGCAGCATCCCTGGACTCCACACACTGGTAGGGTGGTGCCCTGCCCCCACCCATCATGACACCAGAACCCTCTCCACACATTGGCAGGGACCAAAATCCCCCTGGCTGAGAACCACAGCTCTATTGCACGGTGCTTGGAGAGTAGCCTGTAGATGGGAGCCAAATGTATCACACCACACAATGGCCAGGCCAGGTCAGCAGCGGTGTCAGGCAAGGGATAGTATTGTGGTGAGAAAAATGGTCCGATGGTGGAAATTGAATTTCTCAAGAGGGTTCTTTCCTGACCACCCTGGGGTCAGAAGCCAAGGGAGAAACTGACATGGAGAGTTTCTGTGAAAAATTCTGCTGAGGCCGGTGAGAAACAGACACCATATCAGCCTCTAAGGAGGTAGACAGGAGCCACCCCAAACTGAATTCTCAAGAGGTTTTAGGGCATGTGTTTCCAGAATGAACAAGTAAAGAGCTAATCTATCATGTGGGTGCGCTTCCTTTTTTTTTTTTTTTTTTTTGAGACAGCCTCACTATGTCACCCTCGGTAGAGTGCCGTGGCATCATAGCTCACAGCAACCTCAAACTCTTGGGCTTAAGCAATTCTCTTGCCTCAGCCTCCCAAGTACCTGGGATTACAGGCATCTGCCCCAATACCTGGCTACTTTTTGTTGTTGTTGTCATTGTTGGTTAGCAAGCCTGGGCCTGGTTTGAACCCACCAGCCCCGTGCCTGTAGCCTATGCCCTAACCATTGTGCTGTGGGCGCAGTGGGTGCTCTTTTGATAATGAAAAAGGTCATCAAGAGGGAGGCATTAAATCATAGAACAATTCTCAGGTGGGGAACTAAGTAGGTAACAAAGAAAGTTGCCTTAGGAGTTGGGAGAGGACCAGTTACAGTTACGGCCTTCAGGCTAGATAGTCTTGGCTCAGGGTAAATTTTTAAGCCCTTTCTAACTCAGCTGACATGCAGCCTCCACTAAGCTGGTGAATTTTATTCAACTGTCCCCAGACTAGTTTCTGGGGACATTTCTGGGCATATTCTGACGCCCCTCCCCACCACAGATGTGCTGAGTGGGCGTGGGGCTGAGGCCCGGCTCCATTCCTGCCTGAGTCCTCTGGAATGTCCTCCTGCAATATTATATATTTTCCCCACATGTTGGCAGTGGTGTGACTAAAGCACAGTATTCGTTATAAGCAAGGACTTCCCTGTCTGGACCTAGGGGGGACAGTTGCAATCTCAGTTTTAGTCACCGGATGTCCGGTCAGAAAATATTTTAAAATATTTTGCAAGATTTTATGGTTGTTAAGTTTTTAGCACAAATCTGTATATTCTCTACACACAATAGTTACACTTCTAAATGGGTGAAAAGGTATGTGAAACCTGAATTGTTATACTGTATCAACATAATTTAATGTTCCAGGAGAACCCTGATTTCTTTTTCTTCCTTTGATATGTTTTTTCTGGTGTATATGTAAATGTATTTCTCTTTTTGAAAACTCTCCTTCAGACTTCCGAACACCGGTGGAGCCGTCTCCACATTGAGCAGTGGTGTCACCGACACTGAGGGACATTAGGGAAGATGCCAGTTTGATTTGGTCCCTGCCTTGAAAGGGGTTTAAATCCAGTCAGAACAATAAACTTGTGGACAACTGACAGAGCAGAACTTCATCACTCAAGCTTCTGTCATCCTTTCTTAGGTTATGACACAGCTACATCAAGAGCCGTCTCTCTTCCTTTCTTCCTGTCTTTCTTTCCTTTTCTTTTCTTTTTTCTTTTTTTCTTTTATTTCCTCTCCCTCCCTCCCTCCCTTCTTTCCTTCCTTCTTCCTTTATTTCTTCTTCTCTTTTTTAGCTTTTCTTTTATAAGACTCATCCTTTTAGAATACCTTAGTACAGAGAAATCAAATAACAGCTAATATCATGGTAAGTAAATAACCAAATCTGATTGTGAAATCACCTCTCTGCTGTTTAAACAGTATTTAGCAAGGCAATGAAACTTGTCCAATTGGAAAAACATAGTGACTACACACACACACACACACACACACACACGCGAGTACTTTGCCAAGGCAGCCCAGGAAAACATTTAATTTGGCCAATAGAAAGAATTTGCAAATGCTGTCACCCTTGGAACTCAAGGGGAAGGCGTCATCATTCATAAAGTCTCTACTTTCTCTAAGATGCAAATCCACATCCACTTGCATCCTCTCCATTCAGAGATTCATTTGCAATTTTAGACTTTGAACCCTGCTCAGCCTTTGGTCCCAGGAACATTGAACAAGTAAGAGGAAGATAAAGAGAGAAGAGGATGAAGGGAAGATGAAGAGGAGGAGGGAACATAGCTCAGTACTTGGTGGTCAATCCTGAATTGACTCATGGGAACCATAGCCTGATACCTGTGAAATTGATTATGAACACACAGATTTAGACCCTAACTGGCAGGCATTGATGACAGGTTTCCCATCCGGAGGTGGGGATCACAGACAGGAGAGGCATGCAACCACCAGGTACGGTTTCTTTTCATTGCTCAAGTGAGACCCTGAAATGGGTGACCCTGTGAAATGTACATCCAGTGTAACTGTGTGTTGCCTCATGTCTGAATCACATCACTACCTCCTAATAACAGTGTAACAAATTGAGAGTACGCTCCAGTACACCTCTGACACTGGCATGGTGGCATTTACAGATCACCCACACGGATGTCACTCTCTGTTGTCTCATACCATCCAAGACCCTGACTTGGTTTTCTATGTTCCTGAATGTGGTTTTTGTTTAAAGAAGTGTCTTTCAGGAACAACTAATCAATGCTTGAATTGTCTCCTGGACACACAAAGAAGACATGATAGATACACAAAGTACCCACACAGAGTGACACATGTCCCTATTCTTTCCTAGGGAAGCAAGCAGGGGAGCATTTAGGAAGATTCCTAAGGTCAGTACTCACATGATTAAGTCCTGGCTGGGTCTCTGCTCAGCTCCTGCTGGCCACCTCCTGAGAGGTGTGTCCTGTGTGGCAGCTGCTTTAAAATACTGTGACACTTCTGCCCACTGCAGGGGCCGCCCCATAGGAAAAAGCCACTCCCACAGCCCTGAGGCTCCAGAGTTCCCTGCTAGACTAGGAAGCATGAAGTCAGCGATCTTTCATTGCAAGATACCCCTAAATGCACTGACAAGAGATTTGGATGTCAGAGCTATTGGGCTGCCTCAGAAGGTCCCTGGGGACCAGCTTGTTTGAACACCCCTTAAGGAGGGTCTCAGTAAATAGGCTGCAGGTTTAGGGCAGAGGAGGAACCCTGTGGGGGGAGGAGGACAGTGCCATAAGAGGGTGGTGGTAGGAAAGGGGACTTGATAGACAGAATGGGGAGATGGCATCTTTGTAAAAAGGACTCAATTATGAATGCCTTTTACAAAATTCTGTAGGCTCCAAAAACCTAACTGAGTTGCCCAGTCGGGGAGTGGGGCGTTCAGCTGCCTTCTCTGGGGTTATTTGTGGCTCCTTCTCTGCAGGGGACATGTTGGCCTTTCTCTCTAGCCCAAGGCCCCTGACACACTATTTCTGCTGACTGGAACACTCTCTTCCTTCTGACACACTGTTTCTTCTGTTTGGAACACGCTCTTCCCCCTCCTCCCAGACATCCTGTCCTTCCCTGTCACGTCACTCTCCCCCCACTCTGTGTTCAGTATCTGCTTTTCCCCTGTTGACCATGAGCTCCTGAGGGCAGGGCTGCCCAGTCCCCACAACTGAGGGCAGCACCCAGCATATGGAAGGGGCTTAATGCGTCCATGTCCTTTCTCTTTTCCAGTGTGAATCATCTGCCATCCCCAAATGTGCAGAGAACAATGCAATGAGCTGGATGGCCCTCACCTTGCTTCACTGATTGTCAACAAAATTTGATTAAAGCCCATACTTTGATTTGCTTCAACAAATAATTTAATGTGTATCTTTGAAACCCTTTTATGTAATTATTTATATTACAGAAAAATTGCAAAACTGGTACAGAGTTCCCTAATGCCCTTCACCCAGTGTTCTCTGATATTAAAACCTTACATAACCATGGCACAAGGATCAGAACAAGCATTTATTACTGACATAATACTAACTCAGCCCTTATTTGGATTTCACTATAATTTTTTAAGCAATGCCCCTTTTCTACTTCGTGATCCCAATCACAACCCCCAACTGCATTTTTCCTTTTTTTTTTTTAGATAGTGTCCTCTGTCACCCAGGCTGGAGTGCAACAACAAGGTCATAGCTCCCTGCAGCCTCCAACTCCTGGGCTCAAGTGATCCTCCCTTCTCCAAAGTTCTGGGGTTCCAGGCCTGAGCCGCCACGCCCAGCCCCAACACTGTATTTGGTGTCCCCTTAGTTACCCTAGTCTGTGACACTTCCTCAGCCTTCTACAGATTCCTGGTCAGTTATTTTGTGGAATGTACCTCAGTTTGAGTCTATCTGCTGTTTTCTGGATAGAGTTTACACATTTTTTGAAAAACATCATAGGAGTTAGGCTATTCCCTTCTCAAGATATCATTTGTAGATAGAATGTCATGTCCAAGACAAAGTGTATCTTATTAACGGCGGTAATCACCTTAATCTCTTGAGTAAAGTAGTAGTGTCTTCCAGATTTTTTAACTGCAACATTACTATTTACCCCCTCACAATTAATAAATATCTTATGGGAGATACTTTGTGACTGTGCAAATACTGTTCCAAAGTCAATTTCCACCCTGGAACTTCAGTATTCACTGAGGATCTCATCTGGAGTCAACGCCATTGTCGTAATCTTTGTCTAAGGGTTCTATCTTTGTCCTTCTATTCCTCCCACTCCATCTACATTTCATCATTGAAACTCTTCTAAAGCAGAGCTACCCCTTCTTCCTTTCTCTTTTCCGCCCCTCTTTCTGTCTTCCTCTGTTCCTTCAGTGATTGACTTACATCATTCTGGGCTTATGGACATTTTATTCTGAAGATCACAGTCTGGACTGCGCACGTGTGTAGTTTGTTGCTCACACTGCTCCAGCTTTGCTTGGGGAAGCTCCTTCAGGTTGGTCTCTGTGTCCTTCATGACAAGCCCCCTCCTTGGTGAGCATTTCCAGAGATTCTCTGTGCCAAAGATGTTCCAGGCTTGTCTGTATTTTCTCTGCCCAGCTCTGAAGTCAGGCATTTCTCCAAAGATCCTGGCTTCCTTCTATTGGAGAAGGTATTTGAAAATTAGGATCTGAGCACCCTGTGTGTGCACTGCTTCTGGGGTGTCAGTGCTCCAAGGCCTTCCCCAGTGAGAAATATGTGTATGCACATTAATCCCCCCCACACAGTTTTAACCTTTTTCTCTGACAAGTGAGAAACCTGTGTCTGCTTATCTAAATATAGAGTATTAGGTCTTTGTTCAATTGCTAACACATGCCTCTGTGAGAAACAAATTCAACACCAAGAGCATAGTATTTTTCTCATGTAATAGATATATTTTTGGCTTAGAGCCAAAGATATATTTATAAAGCTCCGTACTTATTTTCTTGTCACTCTCCTGACTCAGTTAACTTAATACAAGTTCCTGTTGTGATTATCAGCTGTTTGTCATTTCCATAAACCCCCTTCCAATTAAAGGGGCAGTGCCAGGTCAGGGCAAAGCTAATCCCACATGTTCAGGCCCAAGGCCTCCCTACTAGATGAAAAGAAAAATGCTAAGTCATCTTCTTATCACAAAGTAACTGGTTAATGTATTCCTTTTCAAGGTTAATAATTAAAGTTTAAGCAACCAAAAAAAAGTCAGATAGACTTTGTTTCTCTGCAAGGCAGTGGAAACTGTTTTTTATATATTTTTTATTTTTAATGATTATTGCTATACAATGGTTGTATAACCTTGTAGGGTATATGTGATGTTTTGATACAGGTGTACATGTGAATTAATCAACTCAGGGTGGTTGGGGTCGCCCTCACCTTAAGCATTTAACATTTCTTTCTATTAGGAACAAGCTAATTCCACTCTTTTGGTTATTTTAAAGTATGCCTTACTTATTGTTGATTATAGACACTTGATTGTGGTATCACATACTGTTCAATCTATCTAACGTAGGTTGATTCCAAATCTTGGCTAATGTAAATAGCGCTGCAATAAACATGGGAATGCACATATCTTTTTGAAATACTGAATTGCCCTCTAGTTGGGCCCAGTGACCTACACCTGTAATCCTAGCACTCTGGGAAGCTGAGGCAGGTGGATTGCCTCAGCTCACAGGTTAGAGTCCAGCCTGAGGCAGAGCCAGAACCCGTCTCTAAAAAAAAAAGCTGGGGATTGTGGTGGTCACCTATAGTCCCAGCTACAGGGAAGGCTGTGACAAGAGACTCCCTTGAGCCCAAGAGTTGGAGATTGCTGTGAGCTGTGATGCCACAGCACTCTACTGAAGGTGACAAAGTGAGAATCTGTCTCAAAAAAAAGAAAAAAATGAATCCCCCCACCCAGTAGTGAGGTTCCTGGGTCACATGGTAGTTCTATTTTAGTTTTTTAGGAGACTCCATACTGCTCTCCTAGTGGTTACACTAATCGACATTCCCACCAACACCGCATCAGGATCCCCTTCCTCTATATCCTCCCCAGCAGTCACTATTGCCTTTATGATAAAAGCCATTTTAACTGGGGTGAGATGATATCTCATTGTAGTTTTGGTTGACATTTCTCTGATGACCAACGATGCCGAGTATTTTTTCAAATGCATTTTGGCCATTGGTATGTCTTCTTTTGTGAAATGTTCATTCAAATCCTTTGCCCATTTTAAAATCAGATTCATTTTTCTTAGTGAGTTATTGGAACTCTTTATATATTCTAGTTACTAATCCTTTGTCCGATGGGTAATTTGCAAATATTTTCCCCCATTCTATGGGTTGTGTCTTCACTTTGTTGATTGGTTCTTTTGCAAACCAGAAGATTTCTTGACATAATCCCATTTGTCCAGTTTTGCTCTGGTTGCCTATGCTTTGGGGAATATACTCAATACCCTTGCCCAGACCGATGTCCAGAAGCCTTTCTCCTATGTTTCTTTTACTGGTTTCATAGATCCAGCCCTTAGACTTAAGTCTTTAATCACTTTGACTTGATATAAGGGTCTGGTTTCATTCTTCTGCATGTGGATGTCCAGTGTTCCCAGGACCATTTATTAAAGGAACTGAGACTGGTTTTTTTTTGTTTTTTTTGTTTTTTTTTTTTGAGACAGAGCCTCAAGCTGTCCCCCTGGGTAGAGTGCCGTGGCATTACAGCTCACAGCAACCTCCAACTCCTGGGCTCAAGTGAGTCTCTTGCCTCCGCCTCCCAAGTAGCTGGGACCACAGGCGCCCGCCACAACGCCCGCTATTTTTTGGTTGCAGCCGTCATTGTTGTTTGGCGGGTCCGGGCTGGGGATTCGAACCTGCCACCTTAGGTGTACATGGCTGGCGCCTTAGCCGGTTGAGCTATAGGAGCTGAGCCCCGAGACTGGTTTTTTAAAGGTACTTTACTGCAGAGTTTTCATGACTTGGATATAAGAACCAAGGCAGATGAAAACCTTTACTGTGGGCATCTGTCACCAGGAGGCGATGTCTGTAAAGGACCAGCAGATGGCACTCTGGAGGAGTTTTCTTACTGGGTTGGGAGGTGAAATACAGGACACCCAGTTAAAGGAGACGTTCAGGAAATTAGTAACTTTTTAGTTTAAATGTGTTGCAAACATTGTATGCAACAATATTATACTAAAATTTTTAAGGCCAGGCATGGTGGCTCACACCTGTGATTCTAGCACTCTGGGAGGCCACGGCAGGTGGATTGCCTGAACTCAGGAGTTTGAGACCAACCTAAGCAACAGTGAGACCAGTCTCTAAAAATTAGCTTGGTGTTGTGGCGGGTACTTGTAGTCAAAGGTACTTGGGAGACTGAGGCCAGAGGATCACTTGAGCTCAAAGAGTTTGAGGTTGCTGTGAGCTATTATACCATAGCATTCTATTAAGGGCAACAAAGTGAGACCCTGTCTCAAAAAATTTTTTTTAATTATTTAATTGAAATTCAGATTAACTT